ACAGGGTTTCCTAGGCTGAAATCTTTACAGCAACAGATCACTAGGTTCTTCCCCCGCGTAGCAGCTGCTGGGTTTGAACCACTAACCTTTCTGTTAGCAGCCGAGTGCTTAACCGCTGAGCCACCGGGGCTCCTTTCAGTACTGGTGTTAGTACTTGAGAACTGCAGGCAAAGGCCAGGGACGAGCTAGCTTTGCTCTGTTCCACGATCGCTGGGCGGGCCACCGGGAGCAGTTGGTGGTGGGTCAGTAGTGTCGTCTGTACATGAAGCACACCGCCTGCGCTTCCTGCCTGCTGACCTTGAGACCACCATCTCATGTATTGTGTCAATGGCTGCAGATCCTGGACACCACCAGACTCCTGAGAAGCTGTGTGCAGAGTGCTGTGGGGATGCTCAGAGACCAGAACAAGAGCTTTCCGCGCAACATGAGGAGAGTGGAGATTCTTCTCCACCTCTTCAACAAGGACGATGAATTCAGAGGTATGGTCCTCACCCTTCTCCTCTTGCCTGTCCCCAGCGTGGGCTCTTCCTTAGTCGTGTGAGTGGTCCCATCAAACGAGCGGGATGCCCTTTCAGTCCTCCGTGGCTCCTAGAAGCAGCTGACTGAGCAGGAACCCAGGAGCATCTCTGGGAGTGTGCTGTAGAACCAGACTGGTCAAAGCAAAGGCCTCTTGCCTCACTGATGGAGCGGGTCTGAAAGCCTTTCCGAGCCCACGACTCAGTGTCCGCGGGGTCTGTTCACTTGACGTCTCCTCTGCCTCCCTACAGCCTCCTTCTTGCGGGTCTCCAAAGAGCACCTCTATTTTCTGTTGAAGAAGCAAGAAGAGAATATGTTCAATCTGAAGGAGTGGGTAGTACGGGAAGCCTCCAATCAGGAAGCCCTCCAGGAGGCAGGCACCTTCAGGTACTGTAAGGAAAGGAAACAAGGGCGGGGCTTAGAGGTGGTAGCAGAGAGATGCACCCTCCTGCCTGTGTCTTCTCCCAACCTGGGAAGTGTGGTGAGATGCTTCTTTGTAAAATGCTCAGTAATTCCAAGCTTTCATTCTTTTTGGAAAGAGCACAGGATGAATCTGGATGGTGGCTATTTGAGGGTTTGTTGTAGTCTTGTACCTACTTATGTGCCCTCCCTCCCATGATTACACTGTAACGGGGCTGCCCTCTCTCCAATGATTACACTGTAACAAGCCCCCCCCCCATGATTACACTGTAACGGGGCTGTCCTCTCTCCAATGATTACACTGTAACAAGCCCTCTCCCCCCCCATGATTACACTGTAACGGGGCCCTCCTCTCTCCCATGATTACACTGTAATGGGCCCGCCTCACTCCCATGATTACACTGTAACGGGGCTGCCCTCTCTCCAATGATTACACTGTAACAAGGTCCCCCCCCCATGATTATGCTGTAACAGGCCCTCCTCGCTCCCATGATTATGCTGTAACGGGCCCCTCTCTCCCATGATTACGCTGTAACGGGCCCTCCTCTCCCATGATTACACTGTAATGGAGCTGCCCTCTCCCGTGTTGCAGGCATACCCTTTGGAAACGGGTCCAGACTGCGGTGACACCTCTCCTGGCCAGTATGATATCTTTCATCGACAGAGATGGCAACCTAGAGCTACTGATCAAGCCAGATTTTCCACCCTGGGCAAGAGATCTTTGGATGTTTATTTTCAGTGACATTAAGCTTCTCAACATCCCGTCTGTGATAAATGATGCAAGGTGAACAGAAGACTTTTTTAATGGGAAGGGAAAAAATATTACTTAGCAGCAATCTTAAAATGCTCTGTGGAGTAGTTGATGAAGTATACGTATCTGTTTTCGAATCACATTTAAGTTTGCTCATTTTGCAGCCTAAAGGATTATGACATTATAGTCACAAAAGGGAGTTTGCAAAAGTTCTGAGAAATGGCTTCATTTCACTCGCGGCCTTCCTCAGTTTCCCTGCTGTCAGAGCACCCGTTAGAGTTCAAACAGCTGGACTCGCTCTCATGCACAGTCGAGCAGCTGCAATTAGAGAGCCGTTTGGTGTGTGTT